CCAGCAGCCCAGAGAGGGGAACACCAATACAAACCTGACCCGCAGCAACCCAGACAGGGGGGCCTCCATGAGCCCAAAGTGGAGAGACCAGAGAGGGGAAACCCAGGGTTGGGTCTTTTTGCTGAATCTTGGTCATTTGTGTATTTTGGGGGACTGAATCTCGGTGTTTTGGAGGTTTACATGGGCACCAGATTCCCGGTGACTTCTAGAGTGTGGAGGCGCAGGTGCCCAACACTGGAACTGTAATACCTCAGGGCAAAGGTGACCAGGGTCAGAGAGAGACACCCCTCTGAGGACAATGGTCTCACCATAAGCATTTGCAGGCTCATTTGAATGCAGCAGGCTTCATTGGTATCACCCAGTCCAGCTGCCCTTTTTTCCTTATGTGTACTCCCCCTAGAATGTTCTCCCCTCTCTTGTCCCCCATTGGTCCCGGTGTACTGCAATGCTCCGCCCCTGTTATCTCATTGGTTCCCCAGTGGGCTGCCCCTCCTCTGTGCCACCTGTGCTCAGTTCCCATTGGCCCTTGGCTCTCAGACCCCCCCCCTTTGCCCCCTTATCAAACCCTGTGTCCTCAGCCCCATTTTGTCTCTGTCCCTGCACCTTCTACATTGCAATAAACTGCGTTTGGAGCTGTGCACGTAGACCCGTCTCTGGCCTTGTCCATCAGCAGGTTAAGCAAGCGTGCTCAGGGCTCTGGGAGTGCAGGTTGCTCATACGGGCTCGTTGTGGATGTGCCGCAACACTAGAGATGGACTTGGGCAGGAGGAACCCCCTAGCCCAATGTGCTCATACATTGTATTTTTCCTTAAACCAGGATTTCCCATTCCTAAACCTTGTCTTAATGGAGGAGGTGGCAGTAAGGAAGAGGAAGATGGCCCAGGAGATGCAGGCAGGTGAGGAGGAAGTCAGTGCCCCTTTTCCCTCTCTCCTGCTCCATCTCCCAGCCCAGCATGGCTCCTGGCTGTAAGACAACCTTGCTGCTAACGCCATCGTGCTGGGGATGCACTGGGGACATTTCCTTCCCCTTCCCTATTGCACGGAGGCAAGTCCCATCCTCTCCTTGTCTTTCCTCCCCCAGACAAGAATTTGAGGATGGAGACCAGGGAGGAAAAATGCCCACAGCAGAACCTCATGGAAGAGGCTGTTCTGAGCGATGCCACAGGGCAGAACTCCAAGGGGGAGGAAAAGTCTCGGAGATCCCACAGGAGGAGGGCCTGCAAATCCAGCCCAGGATGCTTTGAGGGGGAAATGCCTACCCTGTTCCAGGAAGGTGGACAGAGCTTCAGGCAGAGCTCAGAGCTGGTCTCCCATGAGCAGCTTCATGATGGGGAGAAGCCCTACAAGTGCTTGGAGTGTGGGAAGAGCTTCAGGCAGAGCTCAGAGCTGGTCTCCCATGAGCAGCTTCATGATGGGGAGAAGCCCTACAAGTGCTTGGAGTGTGGGAAGAGCTTCAGGCAGAGCTCCCACCTCCTCAGCCACCAGATGATCCAACCGGGGAATGGGCCTACGAGTGTGGGGAGTGTGGGAAGGGCTTCAGGTGCAGCTCAGAACTCGTCAGGCACCAACGCATCCACACTGGGGAAAGGCCATACGAGTGTCATGAGTGTCAGAAGAGGTTTCACACCAGCTCCAATCTCCTCCTGCATGAGCAGATTCACACCAAGGAGAAGCACTTCTGCTGCTCTGACTGCAGGAAGGGCTTCAAGCACAACTCCAGCCTCATCAGACACCAGCACATCCACATTGGGGAGAGACCCTATGAGTGTCCCCAGTGTGGGAAAAAGTTTCAGACCAGCTCTAATCTGCTCCTGCATGAGCGGATTCACACGGATGAGAGGCCCTTCCGCTGCCCTGACTGCGGGAAGGGCTTCAAGTACAACTCCACCTTCATCACCCACCGGCGTATCCACACTGGGGAAAGGCCCTACGAGTGTTCCCAGTGTGGGAAGAGCTTCACCCAGAGCTCTCACTTGACACAACACCAACGGAGGCACCAGTACAAGAAGCCCTGCAAAGGCCCCAACTGGAGGAAGAGCTTCGTTCCCAGGTCCAGATTCATCCCCCATTGTGGGACCCACATTGGGAAGAGCCCTGGTGATCTATGGTCCCTGTGATCCATGTTGAGAAGACACCTGTACCTTTTCCTGTCCCTGCCAATGACATGATGTGGGATTAAATAACTTTTGAGTCAGGCCATGGCCCTGTCATTACATTCAGTCCCATCTCTGGTTGTTGCCAAGGGCATGAAAGGGACTCCTTGTCTCCCTGAAGGGAAGGGTGTCCTTCCCAGGAGTGAGGATAAACATGGCTGAGTAGAGACAGTCAGTGGTAATGTAGTTTTTCCTACAAATCCTTTTTCTTATTCCTTGTTGTTATCAATATTGTTTCTGTTGCGGTTTGTTCCTTGTCTTGTTGCTGTTCCAAATAAATTGTTCTTATCCCAGCCTGTGATCTTTGCCTTTTGTGATTTCCATGGGAGGCCAGAGGGCAGCGAGGGCAGCACGGTTTTAGTGGGAGCTGGAAATTGGGGAGCCCCAGTCCTAAACCTGTGCCGTGGAAACCGAGCCCTAGTGGCCATGGCAACAGCCTTGGGAGCGGGTCCCTGGCTGGGGCTGTGGGAACCTCTGTCCTCTGAGCAGGGGCTGGGGGATGTCCCCAAGGGGGCTGTGTCACAGCGGCACCTCTGGGCTGTGTCACAGAGCCACAGAGCAGCTGTGATGTCAGAATGGCCTCCCCTGCCCCACCCAGACGCAGCTGGGCAGGGGAGAGATCAGACTTGACTCACCACCGGACTCTAAAAGAGGAAGTCTTCTGGGAATCCTCTGCTTTTAAGCCCTGTGTGTTCTCAGATCCTTAGCAGCCACAACAAGTGCCAATTTCAAATCTGGCCACTGATTGGTTTGACCACAACTTTGTCAGAAACTCACTTCCTGGTCATACCACAACATTTCTATATACACATTGTCTTATATCTTCCAAGTCTCCTTTTGTCTTCTCAAGGTATTTTCTTGTTTCACCTATTTTTCTAATTCTCTTTAGCAGGCAGGTGTTTTTCTGAACACTGGTGTTGTCCATATTCTAGGAGCTGATGAATTGTTCCAAAACTAATGTGGATTAGAGTAAATGTAAGAAACTAATGAAGAGTATCCCTTTGGACAAAAATCAGTAGTCACTATTTGGATTTTGTATCAAATGCTCATTTTAGTTTGTTTTTTCTTTTTTTTTAATGCAGAAAAATAGAAAATATGTGCTAGCTATAGGAATTTTTCTATATCATATTTTCAGTGCTAATTCCATTATTTTCATTACATTCATCCTTCACTTCAGAGTTAATGATGTGGCTGGCAAGAGGGCCTCTAATGATCCAGACTGCTTTTTCACTGCCTATTGAGAGAAGTCCTCTATCTCAGTCCGTATCGCTGTGATCCCTAGTCTGGCTCAGCCAAGGGGAGTGTGTCATAAAATAGAGTAACAGGTACAATGAATTTGCCCAAAAATAAAGATTTTTAATATCAAAATAACAAACACAGAAACCATGCAGTCTGAGGGGCAATATCCAAAGACAGGGGGGCATGGTGAACATAGCCAGGTATAGGGGTATTCTGAGGGTGAGATTCCAATCACAAACACAAACTTGGAACACGACCTTATTTGTAACAGGTTCTGAACTACCTGAGAACAAGAGGCAGAAACATGACCTAATGTGGAATAGTTCCATTTACATCTTGACTCCCATGACCACACTCTTCTTGCCATGACCTGAGTAGATATTTCCTTTTCAATACCTTGCTTCCCATGGCCTCAGGTTGATGCCTCCTGTATATGGTACTGAGGCTAAACCACTATTTATCCCAGCTGGCTTCATTCCCACATGGGACAGGCACTGTTTGGTTGATTGCTTGGCTATTTGCATAATTATTCATTCAAAAAATAGTGCATGTGTGGATTTCAACAGCAGAGTAGTAGGTAACATTAATCAACTTCTTCAAATAATGTATTATTATTTACTTATTTTAAGTATTGCATTTTAACTACTTAAAGTATTAAGAGTGTTATATATATAATTTATAATTATATATATAATATATATATTTATATATATTATATATATAATTATAAATTATATATATAACACTCATAATAATTTCATTTATAATAATTTCACTAAACAGATCTATTCAGGTAAATTCTGCTTTCCCTTGCTGTAATGAGACCTTTGGATTTAACCAGAATTAACATTTTGCCTGACAAAGCCTTTTTCTCTTCTTATCCTGGATTTCCTGTTTCAATTCAGTGTTCTCGGGATAGTACAAGTAAGGAAAAGGATTTCTCTTAGCCTCTAGCAAAGCTTCATTTAGTCTACAAGTAGTTAATTGTCCTCATCTTTTACAGGATACTAGGAATCAGCTTCTAAGAGAGTATTTTAGGAATATCATTGCTTATATATTAAAGAAGAGATCAACAAATTCCTTCAGATTATTTTCAGCACTTTTTTTTTTAGAAACAATAAAACAATACAAAACAAATTCCTGTATAATGGTTAAGCTGTAAATGATTTTACCACGTGATGGCCCTTCTTGGATGTTAATCATCCTTGTCTTTAATATAATTAGTCACAGTCATGGTTTGTCAGAAGTAGTAGGATGGACCACTTTGGTGGAATCCATAATTCTACCTTTTCCTAAGGTAAATGTAGAACAAACATTTCAATATGACCAAAAATCCCAAACAGATAAATTTCAGGATGGAAAAGTGTGAATTCGTCAGATGCTTGGGGCCAAAGAGCAGAACTATAGCTGTTATTTAAATTTAAGATGGTAAGCTGAATGGAGCACTGCTGCTTGAGACATTTAGAGACATCATTGGGGTTTGTGGCAACATGGCCAGAGAAATATTTGAGGGATTCTGTGGAACAAGTGAAAGCACTGGGAAGCACAACTCTGTTTTTCATGCAGTCATTGCATTCGGTGTTTCAGTTTCTTTGGCATTTCTGTTGATGCTGACAGGAGGGGTAGGATATTTATACATGGGAGATGACTAAAGAGGGATGTGGGAGGAAGCATGTGTTTTGTCAGGGTATTAACACAGCTCAAGGTCTCTTAGCACAAGTATTTATGGTGATGAGACAGAGCAGTTACCAGTGACTAGGTAATAATTTGGCAACACTTTCAAAGTGGTAAACAGAAGTGACTGGAGTAATACATGAGTTGGGGCATCATCCCAAAAATCTATCAACACTAATTACAGATTTCATGCACCATGTGATTGATCAGCAAACATTTGCGACTCATGCTTTTTTGTTTATTTGCTACCATGAGATGCAGTCCTCAGCATGGGATCGTAGTTCTTCCCTGCCAGTCTCCCACATTGATTTCCCAGCTTCCTTTTGCACATGGATTTATCATGGAAAAACAAGATATTTGATAATTAACTGGGCTGGAGAAAACCAGTCGCACCTCATGGGCTATCTTTCAAAGGTGAAAATTATACTGTTAATAATTTATATATGTGTTAATGTTTCTAATAAGGATAATAAGGAATATAATTAATTAGGAATTGTACATGAGACACTTGAGATCTGTTCTCAGCTCTTTCTGTGTCAATAATGGTTATTGTTTGTGGTTACAGTTCCTGCTTTTAAAGAGAAAGGCTATTTCTTTGTGAGGGTAGCAAATGCACCTGTGACTGAAGGCAGATACCTCATTAATAAGGTGCATATAAATATCTATAATAGATGTGAAACTGTAGATAATATAGGTCAGAGCTGTGCTGAGGGATAGCTTTATTTGTAAAATCAAAATATTCAAGTTCATAAATACACTGACAGGAATACATTCTTAATGAATAACTGGGGAGAGGGGAACCAAAAAATGCAAAACCCCAACCCTTAAAAAAACAACTGAAATACTGCCCTCCTGCCCCCAATCCTAAAAATACAAAAGAAAAAAACAAGCCCTTACAAAAAGCCAACAAACCAACAAAAAATCCCAACAAAACACTAGGATATTGAATATGGCAGTTCTTACATTAAATCTTTAAAGCAAAATTTTTCCGGCAGACTGCACAACCTCATTTTCAGCTTGTTGCTCCCATCTTCTCCCAAGCAGGACAACTCTGTATGCACATGTGAGCTCGAACACAGCTGCAGCTGCAGTGAAATTAGTGAGGCTCTACATCTGCCTATCTGTACAGGCTGCAGCTGGGCTGAAAGGGGGACACACTTAATAAAACTTTTGATTGCTTCTATTTCCCCTTGTTTCCTGGCATTTTTAAACACTTTTTCATGGCATTCACTCCCTTGTGAAAACAGGGAATATGGTGACAATATTGCAACTACTTGAGATTTTTATTCTTACATGCATTTTTAACACAGGGGCAATGTGAGAGGAGCTTTCAGAGGGTGAAAGAGTTGTACTATGTGTTGGATCTTTCTTTTTGAGGAGATTTATTTTCGAAAATATTTCTATTTAATGATTGTATTACTGTACTATGTGTATTGATTTCTGAAGGGGAGTTTAACGTTCTTGTACTTTGGTAGGTTTTCCCTTAAATTATAGATGCAATGATGCTGGTGGGAATGCTACTGCTTGAAGAAGATAAAGGACTACTCTGGCATGTTTCACTTCAAGTCTCACATGGAACCAGCCTACTGGTTGAGCTCCAGCTGGTGACAATCCTTGTGGTGCAAGGCCAGCCTTTCCCTCTAACAATTGCCACAGACACTTGTTTTGAGGTTGTCCTCCCCCTCTAGGGCCTTTCTACAACACTGGAACAGCCTCTGTAAGAATATGGTCTAAGTGACCTTCTGTGATGTGATTGGCACAGTCTCATTAACTTTCTGATCAAGCCTAGTCCTGATCACTGTAGTCTGTAGCAGTTGTCTGCAGGCTTTGTCAGGGGATCTGACACTGCAGAGAAACATTACAGCTTCAAGTACTGGTGCATGGCTTACTGTTGAATCTGTTACCAGTGCTTGCATGAGCCTTGCTGAAGCTGAAAAAAACCCATAACTTGTAACATGCTGTCATAAACACATAAATTTTTGTTTTCATTTGTAAAATATGTACTTTTTTTAGGATAAAAGCATATTAGCTGAATAGCAATTGGACACTTC